CTTTCTAAATTTTAACGCGTCTTAGGGCCGTAGTGCGGTAGTGACACTTTTCCGGACATGGGTCCCTATACTCAAATGTTTTCTACTGTTGCACTGAATAACCCCTAGAAGTTTGATCCCATAGTTCTGAAACACCCTGTATATATGTAAAACAATTTTCAAAATTTAACAAGAAGTAACACCATGAGAGGTTTTATTTTATTTTCAGGGAAAGAAACTAGTTGGATAGTGCCATTGACCGCAGGAGGATTTATACATATTGGCCTGGTGACTATCTTGCCCGATTTATTGAAGGAAATAAATCCAAAAGAGTCATTGAAACAACTTGGTGCTTTGTTTTTTGGGATTATTGTAACGGCTGCGATGATGTTTGTTTAAGTCACAAAAATATATTTCATTATTACATATAACAGTTCTGACATTCTATTATGTTACTATATACATATATAATACTTTGAATGCAAGTTTACACCAAATCTGTCTGTACGTCTTACCGAAGTTGCCATAGTTATATGTAATAACATGCTCAATCCCTAGATGGAAACTTGCTGGTCGATGAAAAGCGATAGCAAAAAAGAGAATTGACCAAATCCTTGTACGCGATGTATAAAAATAATAATCGGATTTAGATTAGTTTAGAATTTGTAATATATTTTGTATTGGAAATTAACATTCAAAAACCTATATCATGAGTAGTATTTACGAAGTTTAGAAGTCTGACATATTATGTTCTTGAGATTAGCGCTTTCTGCTCTTCTACAATGTTTTGCAGTAAATTTTGCTCACGAAGATTTAGAATTTTACAATGAACTATTTCTATGATTGAGGAAAGTCTATACTTTGAGGTGGGGAAAAATAATGACAGCGCCTAAGAGCGTTCCTTTAATGATATATAGTCAACAAAAGAGATATATACATATCTTATAAAATATATACATATATATATATATATATGTGTATCTTTATAAGATATATGTATACATATATACACACACGTGTACATTATTCTATTTATATTAGGTGTTACTCTCTAATTCACGCCTTATTGATGGTGAAATAATTCCGGAAAGTCTGTTATGAGCCTCATATAGTTTATACACAAACGCGCGCATGTTCTGTCGTAGATGTGGCACCACGAGTACGTCAGAATGATTCATTATTCTCTTTGGGACAGGACGTTGCGATCAGTTAAAAAGAAAAATTAAATCTAATTCAGAGTAGTGGTATATAAATGTATATCATTCTGAAATGTGAAAGCTAATGTACATACCGCGTTCGCGTTTTGTTTAAATATGATAATGTACAAAGATACGCAAAAACCGCGCAGGAGCTTCCGTAAAGACACATTTACGCGGTGTACGCACAGTAAATGGAGTAAACACTCATTCTAATAAATGTACACACATTATAAGTTCCTAAAGTTATATTCATGACTCGATGAAGTTTCTTTTTTTTTTTTTTCAAATATTAAGTAATTGCGCACGAAAATACAAATAGAAATATTCAATACATGCACAATTGGAAAAATAAAGATGTAGTCTAAGTTTATAACGTATAAAATGAATTTTCTTGGATAACAAAAATTTTACTTTTATAAAATTTTGCATAGATATAAAAATCACGGTTCGAACAGACCGGAAGATTTAATAAGTAAAATTACTTATGTTTTTTTTTTATATTTTTAATCGAATTGTGTTACAATATATATTTTATACAAACATTTGGTACATTTGTGATGCAAATTTTTACTGAAAAAATAATTAATACAAAATATATATATATATACCATTGATAAAACTATTTTTTATAATAAAAACTTCCGCTAAAGAAAAAACTTCACTGTTTGCACATTTATAACAATCATTATGAAACACGTATTTTTTGATGTTTTGTTTTTTTTTTTTTTTTTTTTGCAGAATAAGGTATACGATAAATTGGCGTGACTGGAGTTCAGACTAGTTCTCTTCCTCTCCTGATTTGTTATATCTGTCTTTTCTAGATTGAATG